TAAGACTTAAATTTTAAAATTAACTGAAAAAATATCATTTATTTATTAATAAATCAAACCATTTAAGTTATTATAGGAATTCCTTATTCAAAAAACTCATCAAAAAATAGTTTACATTTAAAATATTTTGTATAATCTGAATTGCAATAAATTAAAATAACTAGTGAGGACGGCCTGACATAGGGACGGAAATATGGAGCCCAAGCCGGGCTGCAAAACCACACAACACTATGAATATATAAATACAACGTCCGAAAATCTTTTTATTAAAAAATTAAAAAAAAAAAAAAACTATTTTAATAAAAGAAATAATTCTACTTCCTCTGAAAGTAAAATGCAAGAGGGTTGAAGAAACTCTCGAAAGTCAAAACTCACTGTAAATCCAGGTTTCATCACAAAGCCAACAAATCACCTCCGAACTGCATTTCGCTATTCTCAGAATCGGTTGGAGCAGTCAGTTGCCACCTGGGCTTTCAGTCGGAACGCTAGCAATAACAAAGGAAAAGACAGGTGACATCCGATTTTTGCATTTCCCCCCTTTGTTCCTCGTCTTTTACGTGCTGTTTGGATAGAAAATAGTAAAGGGAAGGGAAGAGAGGGGGACGGAGGAAAATAGAAAGAAAAGGAGGGGAAAGAAAGGAAAGGGAAAGGAAGAAAATGGAAGGAGATGATTTGTGTTAATTTTGTTTGGATAAATAAAATTGAGAAAGGGGAAGAGAAAGGAAGGATTATATTTTTTATATTTGGATAAGTAAAGTAAAAGGAAGGTAATGATTTAAATTAATTTTAAATTTATAAATTTATCTTTTAAGATGGATGAAGATAATTTATGGTAATATATGAAAAAATTAATTATGTAATTATTTTTAACTTAATCTAAATAATCCTTGTAATCCCTCCAAACCTCCAAATTGGAGAGATTGCAAATCTACAAAATTGAGGGTAGTTGAAGGGAGTCCGAATCCGTGGATCTCCTTTCTTTTTTGCCTCTTTAGAAACCTAAACAAGAGAAAGGGGACAACCTCCTCTCACTCCCCCTCCCTTATACTCCCTCTCCCTTATCATCTGACCCCATCCTTTTCCCTCTCTCTCCGTCCGATACCTCCAATCCAAACAATACGTTAGGTTTTACGCATTCTCCGCCCATATACGTTTCGATACTTGGTTTTTCTTAACAATTCCTTTTATCAGTTCCTTTATTAAGTGTTTCTTAAGTAATTAATGATTCCGTTTTCCTGAGCGATAATCATTTGAATGAGGGATTTTTCATTTTAGGGTTTTTATAGACGGTGAAATTGTTGTTTCCTTGATGGTTGAAATGAGGAGACA